ACGTCATCTCCCCAGGCAAGTTGAGCGTGGCCGATACGGCGGCCGACGCTTTCAAGACGTTCACGTTCCCGAGGACGTTGACGCAAGTGCGCTCGTTCCTCGGGGCGTGTAACGTATACCGCCGATTCGTTAAGGGGTTCGCTAAGATTGCACGTCCTCTGACCGACATGACGCGCAAGGATTCGGATCCCGATTTCTATAACCCCACGGAGCTGCAACTTCAGGCGTTCGAGAACCTTAAGAAGTGCATGATCGCTCCGCCGATCCTCGCGTTGCCCCGGCACGGTCGTCCGTACATGATAGACACCGACGCGAGTGCCTACCAACTCGGCTGCACCTTACTTCAGGAGCACGAAGAGCCGAACGACTGGCGCCCCGTGGGGTATTGGTCGTACTCACTGTCCGATAGTGAGCGCAACTACAGCGCTACCGAACGCGAGTGCTTCGCCGTAGTGTGGGCCGTCCGCACACTACGGCCGTACGTAGAAGGCACGAAGTTCACCGTACGGACGGACCATGACGCCCTCCGATGGCTCATGTCCCTCACCGAGAGTTCCGGAAGACTCACCCGGTGGCGGCTACGTCTGGCTGAATACGATTTCACCATTCAGTACCGCCCCGGACGCGTGCATCAGGTGCCCGATGCCCTGTCACGACTCGTGTCGCCGAAGGTCGCCGATGACCTTCGCTCCACCGTCGAGGTGGATGACGACATCCCCACTTTCGACGGGGGCACGACAGTTCGAGACGTATCGAACGAGCTCGCGGACCACGCTTGTACCGCGAGCTGTGATCATCAGGCCGTCCATGTCTTCGTAACGACACGGAATCAAGCCGGAGCCCGAACAGGGTCGCGCGCACGGACGCGCGACGAACCGCGAGGTGACGACGAAGACCCCGCTCTCCAAGGACCCAATTCGTTTTGGGAGGAGAACGACGAGTTCGACGCCGCCGACATCCAGCACGCCGAAGACCCCGAGGCTGGCGCGCTCGACTCCCCGGTCGCCCCACCGCAGGACGACCTTCCGGCCCCTCTTACGATAGAGGAGATAGCCGAGGAGCAACGCGTGGATGACTTCTGCCAAACCGTTTTGGCACGACAGTCAGAGTCCCGGGACTCCGCGTTCTTCGAGGACCACCAAGGGGTGCTCAAACGGAGACACCCCTTCGACCCTGATATCGTTCAGGTCGTGGTGCCTCGGACGCTCCGCGCCAGGCTCCTTCGCCTGTGCCACAACCCGGCCATCGCGGGGCACCCGGGCCAGAACCGTATGTACTACGCACTTCGACGCGAGTACTACTGGCCCCACCTGGCTGCAGACGTCGCAGCCACGGTGCGAGGGTGTCGAACCTGCGCGATGAACCGGGTGAAGCTGAGGAAACATCTCAACCGATTGAGATTGTTTCCAGCTACGAGGCCCCTCGAGAGCCTCGCGATCGACATCTTGGGGCCGCTCCCCAAGACGAAGACAGGAAAACGGTTCCTGCTCGTGATCACGGACCGCTTCAGTAAGCTAACGCAAGTCGTTGCGCTCCGCACGATAACAGCGCACACGGTCGCAGTTGCGTTCTGCGACTCGTGGGTGTTCAAGTATGGCGTCCCTCGCACGTTGCTTTCGGACAACGGCCCTCAGTTTAATGCCAAGTTCTTCCACAGCACGTGCCGCGTTCTGGGGATAACGAATTTGTACACTTCGGCGTACCATCCCCAGACGAACGGGCAAGTCGAGCGTTATAACCGAACAATCGCCTCGATGCTGCGGAACTACGTGGGTGAACACCAGGACGACTGGGATGTGTACGTGGGGCCGCTTACGTATGCGTACAACTCCCACGTACATCGCACCACACGCACCACGCCGTTTGAGCTCGTGCTCAGCAGGCCACCGCCGGAGTTCTCTCTCCGACGGGCGGACGGCGACGCGCCCCCTTCCGATAGGGGAAACCAACGTGCCGAGTTCCTCAAGACCTTGGATTCGACTATCCAGAAGGCCTACGGGAGCCTGCGCCGGACGCAGGCTCGCTACAAGCGCGACTTCGATAAACGCATACGACGTATTAATTCCCGGCTCCGTCCCGGAGAATACGTATATCTCAACCCCACCGATGGGGCTAAGACATCAAACAAGCTCGCTTCGCCCGCTGTCGGACCCTACCGCGTGCTCGCCAACGACCGCCGAACCATCACGATCGATCGTGATGGGGTCACCGAGCGAGTCTCCGCCGACCGCTGCGTGTACGCGCCGTCTCCGATAGACGCGCCACGAGCAAGTACGACGACCCCAGGAGACCTCGCCGATAAGGTCACCGCGGGGACGCAGTATGCCGTCGAACGGCTACTGAGACATCGAGTTATGGAAGATGGAACTACGGAGTTCCTCATCAAGTGGGCGGATTACGACGCGCCCACTTGGACTGCGCGGACTCACGTCCCGGAGGAGTTGGTGTCTCGTTACGCCCAACGCCTCCGGAGACGTACCGGCAGAGACCTCACCCAAACCGTGAACGCGGACGTTCACGCTTAAGGGGGGGGCCCTCAACCGCTCCTTCGCGGATTAACCCCAGCCTGCACGAACAGACTAAAACGGGAAGCGAAGGAGGTCGGCGGACCCTATCGGAGGGTCACAGCCGGGGACGCGTTCAAGTCAAGTCGTCTTGACTTCTCGGACGTCAAGGACGCGAGACATAAGAACAGGACAGTACGAACTGCCTGAAAAAATGTTGGGCCCTCGTAATGACCGACATTACGAGGACCGCGAAACCCGGTTCGGATCGGAAAAGTCGGACGACCCCCCCGAACAGGATTGCCGGACGATCCGTTAAGTCCAGCAACCACGGCGAGGAGGGGCGCCCGACGAACAAGGAGATCAACAGTGGGATCACGAGGGCCCTCGGTGGGAAGAATAAGCGACCAAGAATGCCCGTCGCTTTGGTCTCGGTATAACCGAGAAGGGGGAGGCTCACGTCGAGCTTTCAATCAGCATCCGCGTCGGAGAGCCCGGCAGAAGACCGGATCATGACCCTCCCGGTGTGGATCGTGGGCGAGAAAGCGCGCAAAACGCGTCGGCAGATGCGCAGACGAGCGAGGCTGCATTCCCCACAGCAGTGGCCAGGATAGTTAAGGAAGGAGGGGTAAGCGAAAGCAACTCAGCCTGAGGGGCACCAGTATATGCGCACAGACGCGAGACACCCCAAAACCGCCGCCGACACATGCCCCATAATACGGAAAATTACGGGGGATGAGAACGTGGCACGTGAGCGAGTGCGCGCCATGCTCCAATACCGGTTGCGTCATCACCAAATCACCCCGCCACCACCCCCAGAATATATCGAAAAAATTAACGGGGCAATTACACCTGCACGCGCATGGCGTATGGAGATACTGTACGCCGGGCGACAAGCAAGAGCAAACCAGGACGGCGCTGCCCGAGGGTACAAAGAATGCCCGCGTGAGGGTACACACGTCACACGCCCCCCCGACCGTAAAGGGAGGCGGGCGTGTGACGGAATCGTATGCCCGCATCGAGCGGATGCCTCGAAATCCCGACCCACGACACGCCGCCCGAGCGGCATTCTCCCTCTATCCGCCTACACGCGCGGCCACGGACGAAGGGAAGGCGAACGTGAGCCACTTGCGCGCTTACGCGCCCCCGCCGCCCAAGACAAAGGGCTCCGAAGGGCGCGATACCACGACAGCCTCCGCTACTGACCACTCCATTCGCGGCATCATGGGGACGCACTCCGAATGCAAAGCACACAACGCGATCGCGTATTCGAGAACGCAGCACGCGGTCGCCACGCACGCAAGCCAAACGCGACGCCTATCCCCCCTTTTTTTCCCCTTTCAACGGGACTAAATCTGACATCCTGTTCTGTGTGCGCCGCAGGGACCAAGAGAAGATCGTTCGCTACCGCCGACCATGGTCGCCGCGAGAAATTCTGCGCACCGCGCGCCCGCGTACGAGACGACCAGGAGGGGCGGGAGCACCGCCCGAGCAAGCCCCCCCCCGGGAGACAAGTCGAAGATTGATGAAACGCACAACCCACAGCCCAAACGTCGAGGACGTCATAGGGGCTTCGACCGTCGAGGAGAAAGTCGCATTGCGCCATGCGTTGGATGCCTCGGGAGGCTCCACCAGCGGTATGCCGGCGGCATAAATTGAGATCTGTGGAAGCCCTCGTCGCAACAGCGTTCGGCGATCGACCCAATTGCGTCATCGATACAAGAGCAAAGACTCCCGCGCACAAGTACCGCCCCCGTCAGCCGCGAAAAGGCCGATATGACCGTTCCCCCTCCGTAGCCACTAGTCGCTGTACCCACAGGGCCACGCACTCAACCTCTACGAGAGCACAAAGCGCCCTGTAAGGACGCACGGAGAAGGGAGCATCAGGGAACTACTGCCGGCTCGAACGACGACGTTCGAGTCGCCCCCCTCGGGCACTGGAGGGAACATCGGGAGTAATTATGATAGCAAGGAAGGAACGCAGGCAGAGATTCACGGCCTGCACAGCTGCCCCAGGGACGACCCCGCCCCGGCGCATGTCGCTCTCGGCACGCGAAGAATAGAACCGGGCCGGCGCCCCCACAGCGAAGGGAGCTCATTCGATTCCTCCCCGCGGTCGGGGCGTGACCACGATCTCAGCCCGGGCCATACCTTCGAAGGGACGAAGGGAGACGCATTCGACAATGCCGTGCCCCATGGACCTCTCAGGATGTGGTGGCGCCAACGCCCATTCCCGGCTCGTGCCCTAGCCGAGAAGGGTGCACGAGCCGGTCGGCGACCCGGAACGCGAGCGTTCCCGGAGACATAGTACCGTAAGATGAATGTCTCACGGCCGGGGGAGGACGAGACGCATTTCGACAGAAGGGGACGAGCATGCACACCCCCGCCTCCACGCGCAAGAAGGCATGAGAGGTAGACAACGGGGACGCGTCTCCGTTCGCGACGCGCTGCAGGGAAGACCTGGCACCCCGGAGAACCGGCGGCGTCGCGTTCAAGAGCGAAACAGAAGAAGGGGGAAGGGGTCAACACGTGTACGCGTGTGCCCCTGGGATGAAGCACAACACGCGAAATATACCGAGGCCGCACCGCAGCTTGTGTTGAAAATTTCGCAAGAAAACATTTTCGCGGGAAACATTTTTGGGCAATTTTTTTGGGCAATTTAATCGAGAGCATAGGGCAGTCGCTGGAGCGTGCGCGGACAAAAACGCCTCTGTGTCCGTCCGTCCGCGTCACGTGCGGTAACTACAGTACGACGCGTGCGGCGCGCGTCTGTGAAGCCATCATGTCTCTAAACTGCGCAAGTACGGTTTGGATTTTGTAACGAGATGCATCCGCCCGCGCTGCCCCACTGCGCGCTCGTGCCGCTGCGCTCCTACATCACGCGCGGCCCCTCTTCGAGCGTCCTCAGCTCGCTCTGCGTGCCGCCGACTACGCGTGGGCTATTCGATTACTTCCCGTCACCCCCCCCGAAACTATTTTCGCGAAGCGCAACGAGCTGTTTGGCATCGACGCCGATACCTACCTCGCTGACCCATCAGACGGACCACGCAACCGAACACCGAGGAGGACATCCTCCTTGAGGACGTCATCAGATGCAGCGACGCTCCGACGCACCCAACGTCGCACAATTGCGCGCCTTTGGCCCCTACACGACGCGCTGCCACACCACAAACGCGCAATTCCCCTGATCGACACCGTTGACCGTCAACCGCCGGAGGGCGACTGCGTCGTCACCACAATCCCCTACGTCTCGCCCAATCTCCCGTCACCGTGCTGGCGGCGGTCCAGAGCCGATCCGCTGCAAACAAGAGAGAGGAGAGGTCACTGGAAAGGACAGTGATTTCCGCACGGGTGGTTTGGGGAAACGAAACGCCGACGAGACGAACGTTGTCGAAGACCGCGACGCGTGACGCAGCGTCGAACCCCCTTAGCAGCGGAACCCGTGACAAGACGGAGAAGGGCCAGAAAACTGACCCGTGGAGACCGTACATAATACTGTGCGAGGATTCGGGAATCGCGCCGACGGTAAAACGGCTATCGTGGAGAAGGGAGCTCCGTCCGACGCGTAACCCACCTGCAAAAACAAAACGAGCGGGTCGCCATCGCCGCGGATGGGGGAAGAGTGTATGGCAATACGAGGATGCTGGGACTGTCATGAAATAACGCACGGACGAGGCCACGGGCATTGCGAGGAATGCGGTGGGAAAACGTGCGGTATCCGGGGCACCCCGACAATCGCGTACGAGTTCGGGACGAGTACATGGAACGGACCGGTGACGCCTTCTCGCAACGGAAAGCGGGACGCACGACTGCACGGGCACGGCTGTCGAATCGGCAAGGCAGGGGGGAGTGAACAAAGAAGGACATAACTGGTCAGGCAACGGAGTCCCTTCTCACGCCACCCTGGACGAAGATAGAAAGCGAGGATCAGAGGGGAAGGAGACGGAAGGATTACGAGAAGTCTTCACGGACTAGAGACAGGACGGAGGCGCGGACGGAAGCACCAAGACAGTCCCTCTCAATGTGGCTCGATGGTAACGAGAGGAGCTGGGGTGGACGTTGGCGAAGTGGATTGGCTACGGTGTCAAGGAAACCAGGGGAAGCACGTCGGGAAGGAAAATCACCAGAGTAAGGGAGGAGAGATCAGCACGCGCGCGAAGGAGCACGGGCCGAGACGCCGAGAATACCCCCCCAGAGAGCGGAGTCGTGGTAAGGAGCGGACGGCACCGTATGGAGGACGCGGTTAGACATGGCTCACGCTCCACAAGCACCCGTGGACGCGGACGTCCCCGCTTAAGGGGGGGGCCGTGTAGTATAACCTCCCCCCTGGGGCTTTATTTTAGATTAGATCAACTCAGAATCGGATCGGTTACTGTAGGGCTCGATGCTCTACAGTACCACCACGTGTACCCCCAAGTACAGGGGGGCACGTGTACACGTGTACGCGCGGAACGAAGAGCGCGCACACACGTTACTGTCAGCCCCGATGGCTGACAGTATTACAGTGTCGACCGACCGCTACAGTACGTCGCTACAGTACATCGGTACTGTACTATTATGATAGGTTATTATGTACATTAAATATGGAGCGGACCGGCGGCGGTGGAGGAGGACAAGCACGGACTTGTCACCCACCGACCGTCAAGGTCCGACTTCCCGCTTATTCTAAGGTAGCGTTCGCTAACTACCTTAGAGCGGCACCGAGCGCGGGTTAAGGACGCGCGCGGTACGCCCACGAGCCGGCTCCGCCTCCGCCCGTCGGTACTGGATCGTCACCCAGTACCGCGCCGGGGCGTCGAGGCTTCGAACCGCTCGCGCGTACCGGCGTCCTCCCCGTTCCCGCTCTACCACGCTACCTGGGCCCGCTGCCCGGTGCCGTTAGCTGGTGTCCCGCTTCACCCCCGTCTTCCCGTTCGGACGGGGTCTACGTCGAGCTGTGCATACACCCCTCTCCGTTGGGGGTGTTTATGCTACAGCCGGCCACTACTCGCCTTCGCCTTCCCTTTTGTCCTCCTCTCCGC